CGGCCAACGAGGCAATCCAAATTAAAGTTAATAAATAAAAAAGAGAATAATAGACGGTTTATTTACTGGATGCCGTATCCGAAATATGTGATCTCAGATCCGAATTCTTCGGAACAATAGGATGGCCGAATACTAAATATATGGAGCTGAATTCTTCAGATGTCATTTATTCTGACCGAATGTTTGACTTGTTTTTATTATTAGTACAAAACTTTAGTAATTATCCAATACATATTAATTTTTTGCGGTGTCCACCGCGTAGAAACAAATTTAATAAATACTAGCTGCTTCTGCGCGGCTTTGATCGGAGCGTGATGTTTTATAGCCTACTAGCTACTTCCGCGCGGTTTCACACGCTCTGCTCAGCTCCTATTGGCCGTAGCGTGAATTTTTATAGCCTATAGCCATCCTAGATAAATGCGCTATCCAACACAAAAAGAATTATTCAAATCAGACTTGTAGTTACGGAGATTAGCGCGTTCAAACAAACAAACAAACAAACAAAAAAACAAACTCTTCCACTTTATATAATAGTAATAAGATATAAGATAAGCTTTTCTAGATAAACGAACTATTCAACTTAACGAACTTTTGGAATCGACTCAGTAGTTACAGAGATTAGCACGTTCCAATAAACAAACACTTCACTTTTATAATATTTGTAAAGATTCGGTGTCAATTAGGTCTGGTTAGTCGAGTTTGCACCGCTCGTAGTTTTAATAGTGTTTGTTGACAGAAAAATTTACTATGTCTCATGTTTTGGTTGTTACGTAATTTTTGTATTTGAAGGAACATATTTGATATTAAATTAGATTTGTTGGTAAAGTCAAGTAGCGTACATAGTGGTCATAAGTTACTGTGTGCACTTGAAGTGCAGTCATTCGAGACTATTTTAAAAGAAAAATTGTGTTCTGAAGGTGATGACATACCACAATCTTGAATGTTAGGGAATGCAAATACTTCTGAGGTCGTGTAAAAAAAGGGTATAATGAATGATATTATAAGTAGAAAGGTGTAATAGGTTATCTAAACAACATTCGTACTCGTACTTTGACGGGGACAACAAACAAAAAAGTTATTTCGAATTAACTCGTCGAGTACCGGTTTTGTAGACACAATTATAGAACAATAGGTTGCGGTCACCGGTGACCGCTTGGTGTTTGACAGTTTAAAACGAACCGTGACATTTGAGACGAAGAGTTTTCGGTTAAAGGTAGCTAATGACTTCCTAAATCCCTGAAAAACATGTATCGGTCCATGCACTAGAAATAAATTTATATAATTTAACCTGAGGACTAAACCCAAAATTAGGCAGTTATAGCCTAGTAAATTCATGCCATATACTAGTAAATTAAAAAAAATTCTAGATTTTAATATGTAAAGTTCAAGGCTCAGAATAGGTTAACACCGCTTTACCCCCTAGGTATTAGATAATAAGTGGCCAGCCATATTGTGACGTCACAATACTGGGTAGCGGTCGTTGGACTGGTTTATTTGCGCCTACTATGTAGGCCAGACATGGCGAAC